TAATATACAACTTGATCCTTGCAAGTCTGAACCCCAAATATCTACATAAACCCCCCACATTGTCAGCTAGTGAGCTCGAAGAGCACAGCATGGATTATTACAGGTATCCAAGGGGAAGATAAGGATCTGGTGGAATGTGCAACATATGAGATTGAACCATGTTGCTCTCAGTGTTTCCTAAAGGTAAAGGGTAGAGGTGTGAACAGAAGACTGCAGAGTTCTCTGTTGTGTGATCCTTACAGCAGGCAGGATATATGTTCCACTCTCAACCTGAGATACCAAGGAAAACAAGTTAAAGCAATTAGCAAGTTAAAGCAATTAGCAAGTCTGACTGCTAAACTGAGTTCTTCAAAACTCAATGATCCTAATTAAGAGGAAAAAAAAGACAGCTAACTTTGGCACTGTTTTACAGATTTCAATTGCATTTGTATCTGAAAGTGTGGAGCAGAAGTACTTGAACTCCAGATATTGAGGATATAGCAAATACTTTTATCTGAAATGAGAAACTAAATGCATTTTTTTGGTTGTTTTGAGGGAGAAAGAAAAAAGGGCATTTGGTCCCATGGCAGATCACACAGATCTGGTTAAGATGTTGGTTAACACTTTTCTCACTGCTGACAAAGCTGTTGAAAGAGGACGTAGAGGACCTGGGGCTCGATTATTCCTTGGGCTTGTGTTAACTTCAGCAAGAACAAGGCAGGACTCTGTTTGTAAAACCTGCAGCAGTCTGTTTCAGTAGTCTGTAAGTCTAGTCCATAATCAAACTCTTGACTAAGCAGCCGTAGCTGAGGAAGAATGCATCAGTCCACTCAGTTGTATGGCTGAACAAAAAGATTTTGATGGCAAAAGCTCCAGATGAGATGAGTAATTCCCAGGATGGCATGAGCTTAGGGTAGCAAGTGGTAGTCTGCTTGGCTTCAGGGCTAACCAGTTGAACAACATACATGGACTTTTTCCCCTGCCAGGTCTACTAAAAGGGACAGCTTCCTCCTAAAGTATGTCAAGGTGTTTAGAAATTCTACAGCTGAGTGTTCAGCCTTCCATAACAAACAAGATTAGGTGCCATTAAAACCAGCATCATGTAAATGGGGTGGCAGGATGTTGTATCATGTGTTGCCTGTTGCTGTGCAAGTGCCATTAGGATGCTCCTTTCATATTTGTCTGTAGTAGGTGATAGTGGCAAATGCCTGAACCATCTGTGAGGGGGCAAAGCCACCTCTGCTGTGCTGGGCCACCTTTATTGCAACAAGATATTTCACTTGACTGTCTTTGCAGCTCTTTCCCCATGATGCAGCAAAGCTGATATATTGAGTGGTCTGATGTAGGTATTTAGTCTATTCTTGCATCTTCATAAGGAATTCCCTTTGACAGAAGGAGAGATATGTCTTTCCCATTAAGTAAGGAAGAAATTGAGGTACCAGTCAAATCTGTCACAGCTGACTTAGATGGAAAGGAGTTGCCTGAACACCAGAAGGGACGGGTATAAGGCCTTGGATTAAGCCAGTGTTAATCTGTGAACCAAAGACATTCAGTTTTTTTCGTCCGTTTTTCTTACTGTTACTGATTTGTATTTTGGATTCATGTCATCAAATTCAGTTGAAAAAATAAATTTCTTGTGTATTTAGCCTCTGTTTCTGTTACATTCTTTCAACAAGAAGTGGCAGAGGTTTCAGCAAAATAATTTTTGTAACAGACTTCATCCAAAGCATTACAAACTGTGGTTTGAAATAGCTGTTCCTGTTCAGTTAATAAATATGTGTATTTATCCATAAGCATACTGATAGAAATCAAACTAACCCAAATTGTCATAGACCCAGCTGAGGTTTTTTGATGGTTTTTTTGCATTAACAGACTGTCAGTCTCAGCCTTGGTAACCCAGGCTCAGGCTGGACCCATGGGCTATTCAGTCCCTTCTGACTTCATTCCAGTGGTAATTGTTGTATGAGGTTGTGGTTTTTGATGCATCCTAATCAGCCTGGAAACAGTTTTGGTGATCCAGCTGCTTGGAAACCATGTAGATGAACAGTTGGCAATGAGTTCATGATGTCAAGAACTTTACAGCTCAGTAAAATCACATTTTTGTTAATAATAATCCATGGGCACCAACGGTATGTTCAGTTGGATTACATTTATAGTATACTTTCTTTCAGAGACTGTTGTTTATTCTTTTTTTTTAAAAAGGGGAGTTATGTATATGTGAAATGGACTGTTTATTTATGGACTATTTGATCAGGTTCCCGGGATGGTTCGATGGGTCTCTGGGAAGTCACAGAGGATGTGTTGTCCAAAAGTGATGCCAGGCATAATCTCTCGCAAGTTCCTGTCTATGCCCACATAACACACAGAGCTCTGAAGGATATCCCCAAGGAGAACACCAATCCTGACAACTGCAAAGTCCGAGCATTGGCTTTCAACAATAAGAACAAGGTCAGTAAGATAAGCAAGAGACAGCTGAGAAGTGCTAATAGTGTCCCTATGTATTGCAAAAAAGTAATGTAAATTGTATATGCTGGAGAAGCAAGCTGATATTTTTTTCTCTTGATTCTTCTCTATCCTTGTCATGTGAGGCAGTAGTTTCATCTTACTATGTCTACTTCTGCCCCAAGTGAATGGAGAAGTCCAGAAGGAAAAAACAAAACCAGGTGCTTTCAGAAGGAACAATTTTCCTGTGGGTTTGATTTTTAGGCTTACATCCTAAGCAGGGGAGACCTAGAATATTTAGAAGTAGCAGATAAAGCACCAAAACGTCTCTTACAGCTTGAATCCCATTCTAGAGTGCTCTAACTGCTTTCCTTCCTCCTTTGTGAAGACCAGCTAACATTTAGGCAGTTCCCATTTTTATGGTTGAATCCTTACTGGATTGCTCAGCAAGTGAGGTGACTGACTCACAGGGCAGGCAGCAGTGCTTGCTTTGGTGTTATTTTGTTGGTATTTGACAAACAGTAAATGTTAACCTCCTCCACGCTGATGTCCTGTTATTACTAGTGGGAGTAGCAATTTATCCTCCACTATTTTTTTCCTGCCCTCAAAGAACAGAGGAGGTCCGAGGCAAAGGTGGGTGTGCTCTGAGAAGCACAGTGTTCCTGTAGGCTTTATGTTTCACAATAGCTGTTGGTTACTCCTCTGTGATGGAGACTTCATGCAGCTTTTTCTGTAGAGTAGTGCCTGAAGTTTATTTCAGGGTTAGAATCAGTGTGGGAGCTGCTAAAGAGAATTGTCAACTCCAGCTTATGCTGTCTAATAATTCATTATATGATTATCTAACAAGATTAATGGTTTTGAAAGTTATTTGCTATTTACTGTTTTATTAATTGTTATTCTACCTGGCATCTTTGTGCAGTATTGAATTCTGTAAAGATCAGCATAAAATGAAAATTTATCTTTAAGCCTATAGAGGATTATGGATGAGTTCAACACAGTGTGCAGCCTGCCTAATAGAGAGTGTGAGTTCGTAAGGACATTTGTAATACAGAAACCAACTCTCTTTTTTTGTTTCCTATTTTTAATAGGAGCTGGGAGCTGTGTCCCTGGATGGGTATTTTCATCTTTGGAAAGCAGAGCACACACTATCAAAGGTGCTTTTCTGTTTGTTGGTGTTAAACTTCAAGAACTGCTGAGCAGTTGATGTTGTTCACTATTCTTCATCTCTTTCAAATGCTTGAGGAAAGAGCAGCAGTGCTTGTAAAACACTTGAAAGTTTTACATAAAATGAAATGTCCTAAAAATTGTAACTCGAGGAGAGAACCTTCCCACTCCCTTTAATCTGGAGGGTGAGAAACACTTTCTGCCGGTTCTGGGTTAGCTGAGGTGAACCATTGCATAGAGTGTGGCAGATAGTTGATTAGTAGAGTTCATAAAGGAAGTTGCACTTAGTGAAGTGTAATGGCACATCACACCCAGAGGTATCTGTACTAGTGGATGTGGTGAGCTTTTTCAGCTCACAGCTGATGTCTGTGTACACCTGCTAAAGAAACAGCAGCATCTTAGGAAGATCTAATACTATTTACCAAAATGTCCACTGTTCTTTGTATAATACTTGGTTTCAGCCTTTATCATCTCACTTTGGTTCAGATAAGGCAGCCTACTGCCCTCAGGACTTTTTCCTCTGGATCAGGCTATATTTTTGTGGTGAACTCATTTTTCACCTGCATTGTATTTTTTTCACTGCACAACTTACACAATTGTTCTATTAACATCTTACTCCTTTCTCATAATGTGTTGATGTTTTTTTTGTTTTCTATTTCCAGCTACTTTCTACCAAGTTGCCATACTGCAGGGAGAACGTGTGCTTAGCCTATGGTCAGGAGTGGTCAGTGTATGCAGTAGGATCACAGGCACATGTCTCCTTTCTGGATCCGCGACAGCCTTCTCACAGCGTTAAATCTGTCTGTTCCAAAGAACGAGGCAGTGGTAAGAAACCTGTCAAAAGGTCCTTCCAGTGGTTTTCCTGCAGAAGTCGAGGTTTTTCATGTGATAGACTAAATCACTGATAGTGCATTTATATAGGTTTTGCTTTTCTAACTGAATTCCTTCAGCAACCAACAGAACAAGACAGCAGGTCTGAAACCTAGTAAAGGGCAATGTCAGTGCTTTTATGATCAGTAAATTGTGAACGATCCAAATATAACTGAACTTTTAAAAGTGTGTATTTTATTTCGGCTTATTTTTGTTACGTCTTACTCTGTTTTACTTCATCTCAAAGCTAATCTTGTAGTTTTAAAGCCACGAGTGAGACTCCTGATTTTCAATGTGATTTGAGTGCTGTTTCCTTTTCTGATATGGATGCAGTATGTACAATTGAACCTTACACCAGGGCCTAGCCTGAGGGCTTTGCAGGGTCCATGGTT